TTTTCTGCCCTATTTCCACCCCATTTTCCCCTTTTCTGCCCTATTTCCACCCCATTTTTCCCCTTTTCCACCCTTTCTCCACCCTGGTTTCCCCCTTTTCTGCCCCATTTCCCCCTTTTCTGCCCCATTTTCCCCCTTTTCTGCCCTTTTTCCTCCCCAATTTTGCCCATTTTGCTCCCTTTTTCCCCCATTCTGCCCTTCCCCCACCCCATGCTGCCCTCTGCTTTGACACCAGCTGCTTTTTGGGTCAAAAAAAGGTGGAAATGTGTCCTTTGTGGGTGACATTGGTGTCACTGGGGACGCCGCCCGTTGTGCAGCTCCTCATCCCACGCCGTTTTGGGGGCAAAAAAGGCCAAAACGGGGCTTTGTGGCCCCACGTTTTGGGGCAAAAAGCCCCCAGTGAGGCATTTCCACAGGGATTGTGTGAGCGCGGCTCCCTCTCATCTGCTAATTGCTTAATTACTCGCAGCTGCTAACGATGCTCCGGGCGCTAAGGGAGCTCCTGTGTCACTGCCTTGCCTGAGAACCCAAAACGCTGCGATTTCACCCCAGAACAGCGCTGGGAGGCGGCCCTAGGGCTGCTTTTGGTGCTGCTTTGGTGGTTCTGGGGGGCATTCGAGCACTTTTTGGTGCTTTTTGGTACCATTTGGGCACTTTTTGGTGCTGGTTTGGTGCTTCTTGGTGCCATTTGGGCACATTTTGGTGCTGGTTTGGTGCTTTTTGGTGCCATTTGGGCACTTTTTGATGCTGCTTTGGTGATTCTGGGGGGCATTTGAGCACTTTTTGGTGCTTGTTTGGTGCTTCTTGGTGGCTTTTGGGCACTTTTTGGTGCTGGTTTGGTGCTTTTGGGGGGCATTTGAACACTTCTTGGTGCTTTTTGGTACCATTTGGGCACTTTTTGGTGCTGGTTTGGTGCTTTTTGGTGCCATTTGGGCACTTTTTGGTTCTGGTTTGGTGATTCTGGGGGGCATGTGGCCACTTTTTGGTGCTGGTTTGGTGCTTTTTGGTATGATTTGGGCACTTTTTGGTGCTGGTTTGGTGGTTCTGGGGGGCATTCAAGCACTTTTTGGTGCTTTTTGGTACCATTTGGGCACTTTTTGGTGCTGGTTTGGTGATTCCGGGGGGCATGTGGCCACTTTTTGGTGCTGGTTTGGTGCTTTTTGGTGCCATTTGGGCACTTTTTGGTGCTGGTTTGGTGCTTTTGGGGGGCATTTGAACACTTCTTGGTGCTTTTTGGTGCCATTTGGGCACTTTTTGTTGGTTTGGCACTTTCTGGTGATGTTTTGGTGCATTTTGGTGGCATTATCACAAATTTTTTGGGGCATCTGGCATTTTTTGGGGGTGTTCTGGTGCTTTTTGCTGGCATTTGTACAATTTTGGTGCTTCTTTGGTGCCTTTTGGTGCCATTTTTCTGCTTTCCCATGAAGCTTCGGTGCCATTCTGGCGACTTCTGGTGGCATTTTTGGTGCTGTTTTGGTGATTTTTGGTGCTGTTTCAGTGATTTTTTGCTGCTACAAACCAAAGCAGCCCCTTCAGCCTTCCTGCAAACAGGAGGAAATGCCCCAAAATGCCATTTTTTCAGCTTTTTTTTCCCCTTTTCACTGCAGTGCTGTCAGTTCTGCCTGTAGTGCTTTGCTTTCCCTGTGTGTTCGACCCTCAGGCTGTTGTGTTTCCCCCCTTCTGCCTTCTCTACAGGTTGCTTTCAGGTTAAGAAACGGCGTAAAAAGGAAAAAAAAGTCAACCCCACAGCTTTCCTGGTGCCCCCTGAGCTCTTTTTCCACCCTGAAAAAGGGGCAAAATGGGAAAAACGGAGTCTGTCCCCTCCTGTGTCACCTCGTGTCACCCTGTGTCCCTGCTTGTCCCTGCAGATGCTGATGAGGAGCTGCTGCGTGGCCTGGAAGGAGCTCTGGGGGTGAAGAAGAAGAAGCGGGGCCCCAGGAAGCAGAAGGAAAACAAACCTGGGAAACCAAGGAAAAGGAAAAAATTGGTGAGTGCCCCCCTGTGATGGGGGCTGTGTCAGCTCGTGGGGGGTCAGCACTGCTCACCAGTGTCTGTTCTGCAGCATCACGGTACCTTGGGGTGGTGTGAGCTCACTGTTCTGGGGGGGTGGGGGTCTTGGGGTG